ACCAATTCATTGTTGAAGATTAGGGCACTATTGCTCTGCTTCATCTTCGATTGTCAATTCTGTGTGATCAGAGTTCAAATCCTGCAACTGTACTCTAGCGATCAAGTGATCGCTCCTTTCTTTCTTTCTTTTCGTTCCCTACCCCGTACGCGTTAGTGGAAGCAGTTTCGCAGTTGGTCCATTGAACTCTGTCTCGCGAGCATACAACTTCTGCGTCAAGGGTCTCTGTTTCGCAAGCGTCCAGGTGCTTCGCCGTCGTTCGCTTCTCGGTTTTGAATCGTCAGCTTCTGGTGATAGCCGACATCGTTACTTCTTCGGATCAATCAAGATTTGTTGTACGGTTCTTGGTCAAGCCGTGGCTCCTGTGAGTTGACGAGCTGTGTTTTCGGTGACAACTTCTTCGGATCAATCAAGATTCATCACCATGGCAGACAATGATTCAAAATCTCAGGTTCTTGACTTCCAACACCCTCTTTACCTCCATCCTGCTGATACACAAGCCAATACGCTTGTCTCCCAAGTTCTCCGTGGCTCTGACAATTACTCTGTCTGGAGTCGAGCCATGGAATTAGCACTTCTTGGCAAGAATAAACTAGGGTTTGTTTTGGGGACGTGTACTCGTGAAAAGCAAGATTCCAACCTCCAGGATCAATGGGATCGGTGTAATGCCGTGGTGCTTTCATGGGTAATTAATTCTGTAGATACCCAGATTGCTAGTGGTTTAGTTTTTTCGTCAAATGCACACTTAGTATGGACAGATCTTAAAGAGAGATTTGCTGTGGTTGATGGTGCGAAAATTTTTTCCTTATACCGTTCAATAAACTCCCTCACCCAAGGCACTTTATCTGTATCTGCCTATTACACTAAACTAAAGGAACTGTGGGATGAGCATGCAACGATGGTTCCTATCCCTAGTTGTTCATGTCCTTCTTCCAAGGAATATGCGAAAAGTATTCAGGAGCAAAGGTTCTTCCAGTTTCTTATGGGCCTGAATGAAGTTTTTCACCAAATACGCAGTCAAATATTATTGATGAAGCCTCTGCCATCCCCCAATCAAGCATACTCCATGGCCACTCAGGAAGAAACGCAGAGACAGATATCTTATGGGACATCACATTCCTCTTCTGAAGGCTCTATTTTAGCCTCTAATGCTTCAAGAGGAGGCAGAGGGCGTGGTAGAGGAAGATCAGAACAAGAATGTAGTTACTGCCATAGAAAGGGCCATCAAAAGGAAAGCTGTTATCAGCTTATTGGTTTTCCACCAAATTTTGGTTCTAATAAGACCAAAAGGACTCCTGAGGATAAAGGAAATCAAGCTGTAAATGGAGCTGACGATTCTGGAAAATCAAGCAACAACCAGGATGTTCCAAACTCTCAGGCTCCTTGGTTCACACCTGATCAATACAAGCAAATATTGGAATTACTCAAACGTGATTCAGATCCAAATGAGGCTGCTGTAAGCATCTAAGCTACAACACCAGGTTTGGCAGTAAACTTAGACTCTGAATGGATATTAGATTCTGGGGCTAGTTGTCACATAGTCTGTAGTTTGTCATATTTAGATAAATATACAGTTTATATTGGTCCTCCTAAATGGGTCAAGGTCCCAAGTGGGGAAAGAATTCAAATAACACATATAGGGGAGGTTAGGATTACAAAAGACATTTTTTTGAAAAACGTTTTCTATGCTAAACCATTCTGTTACAACCTGATTTCTGTTGCCAAGCTTACTCTTGATAGTTTATATGTTGTCTCTTTCTTCCCTAACATTTGTATACTGCAGGACATGTTCAATGGGATGATCAGAGGGATTGGTAGACTTACTAGAAGCCTTTACCTGTTAAAGAGAGAAACTATACATGGTTCTTTAAATTCTGTAAACAAAATTGATAATCTGAATGATACAAATGTTTCTGTTTGGCATTCTAGACTTGGGCATGTGCCCATAGATGGTATGAAACACTTGATTGGTATAAAGATTTCTGATTGTATCTCTGACAGTAATAAGTGTGAAATTTGCATTCAGGCTAAACAGCCTCGGTTGCCATTTACTCCTAGTGCCTCTATATCTAGTTTCTGTTTTGAATTATTGCACATTGATGTATGGGGTCCATATAAAACGCCCACGCATCAAGGACATCGATATTTTCTTACTATAGTTGATGATTATTCTAGAGGAACTTGGATTTTTCTGATGCACTTTAAATCTGAGGCTGTGAAGTTTGTTAAGACTTTTATTGCTCATTCTGAAAATCAGTTTTCTGTCAAGATTAAAGCAATTAGAACTGATAATGGATTGGAATTTGTTAATAGTCAAATGCATGAATTTCTTAGTAATAAAGGCATTGTACATCAGAAATCCTGTCCTTTTACACCTCAGCAGAATGGAGTTGTTGAAAGAAAACATAGACATATTTTGAATGTGACTAGGAGTATTATGTTTCAGTCTCATATTCCTGCTAAGTTTTGGGGAGAAGGGGTTCGAACCGCTGCCTATTTGATTAACCGAACACCTTCTAAGTCATTAGGTCATGTCACGCCATATGAACTAGTTTACAAGAAGCCACCTAATCTGGGACATTTGAGAATTTTTGGATGCCTTGCCTTTGCTGTGAATTTAAATCCTGTTGATAAGTTGCAACCTAGGGCTGAAGCATGTGTTTTCTTAGGATACCCAACCACTCAAAAGGGATACCTTCTTTACAATATTAAGAGTAAGTCTCTTATAGTCACTAGGCATGCAACTTTCCTTGAAAGCAGATTTCCTTTTAAAGACACTACTGTCACAGATCAAGGGGGAGTTAATAGGGTTAAAATTGATCCTTTTCTTATTGATAATATTGAGTAAACTCCTGAACTGATAAACAGTAGGATAAATTCTAATATTGGCAGGCGTCAAAACACTGCTGAGTTGAACAACAATGAACAATCATCTCAGAGTCAACATTCTTCTGTGCCGTCTAGGCCTATTAGATATAGACAACCACCTTCATGGGTTAAGGATTATGAATGTGATTTTTTGCCTAATCCTAATAATCAACCTTATTCTGAAGTGGATGGTTCTGGTTCTTTACTTTGTTCTGTTAATTATGATGATTTGACTAATTCTTACAAATGTTTTCTTTCTAACATCGACAAGGAAATTGAACCAGAAAGTTATGAACAGGCTTCTAAAGATCATAGATGGGTAGAAGCTATGCAGAACGAAATTGAGGCTTTAGAAAACAATAAAACTTGGAAGATAGTTAACTTACCTAAAGGAAAGAGACCCATAGGTTGTAAATGGGTTTATAGAGTAAAGTATAAGGCAGATGGCAAAATTGATAAATTTAAAGCTAGGCTTGTTGCAAAAGGGTATAACCAAAAGGAAGGAGTTGATTTTTATGAAACCTTTTCTCCAGTAGTTAAGATAGTTACTATAAGAATTGTTCTGAAATTAGCTGCTGTACATGGTTGGCCTATACACCAAATGGATGTGGATAATGCTTTTCTACAAGGGGAATTACATGAGGAAGTCTATATGACTGTGCCTCAAGGTTTTGAGACTGATTCTAACAGGTTTAAGGTTTGTAAGCTTGATAAATCCTTATATGGATTGAAGCAAGCTTCAAGGCAATGGAATGAGAAACTTACTCAGTCTCTTATTAAAGGGGGTTTTCAACAAAGCAAACATGACTATGCCCTTTTTCATAAACAATTTAATTCTGGGGTTGTGTTTCTTCTTGCTTATGTTGATGATCTGATGATAACTGGAAGTAATATTCAAATTATTAATGAAGTGAAATCTTTTCTGCATAATGAATTTAAAATTAAAGATTTAGGAGTATTGAAATATTTTCTGGGTTTAGAGGTTCTAAGGTCAAATCAGGGTATTATACTCAACCAAAGAAAGTATGCTACTGAACTTGTTGACCAAACAGGATTAGATGAAGCTGAAATTGCTGGAACTCCTATGGAGCAAAATCTTAAACTCACAGCACAAGTAAAAAGGGATGATCAATACATTGATGATCCTGGTGTCTACAGAAGATTGGTTGGTAAGTTGCTGTATCTGACATTAACCAGGCCTGATATATCGTTTACTGTGCAGGTTTTGAGTCAATTCATGCAAGAACCTAAAGAATCACACATGAAGGCAGCACTAAGGGTAGTTAGATATATTAAAGACAATTCAGGCCGTGGAGTTTATCTCTCAGCTAACGGATCTACCAACATGGAATGTTACTGCGATTCTGATCATGGAGGCTGTACAGATTCAAGGCGGTCAGTTACAGGCTTCCTAATTAAGTTAGGTGGCTCACTTGTTTGCTGGAAGTGTAAGAAGCAAAGTACAGTATCTATTTCTTCCGCTGAAGCAGAATATAGAGCTCTAAGGATGGCATCTGCTGAAATCACATGGATTGTAGGGCTAATGAAGGAGTTACATGTTCATGAGGTTGAACCTGTAACAATTTATTGTGATAGCAAATCTGCCATTCATATAGCATCTAATCCTGTCTTCCATGAAAGAACTAAGCACATTGAAATTGACTGCCACTTTGTAAGGGAGAAATTGCTGGCTGGGATGATAGCTTTCAAGCATGTCAAGTCAGAAGAGCAACTTGCAGACATCTTAACTAAAGCACTTGGAGGCCCGCAGCATGAGTATATTCTGAGCAAGTTAGGAACTTGTGAATATAGAGTTCCTAACTTGAGGGGGAGTGTAGAACATATTCAGATTTGCTTGTAATACGTTGAGTTTAGTAATCTTGTTCTGTCTGTATTAGTTAGGTGTAGTTGGGCCTACACAATGGGCCTAGATGCTTATAAATAGACCTTCTTGTAATCAGTTTTGGGTGTGAGACCTTATCAATAATAAAACGTATTATTTCCAATTACTGTTCATAGTCCATTATCAGATGCAAAAGATTCAACAGCTACTGTTGGAACAGAGTAACTTCGGTCGTGTTGCTCGTTCGACTAGGGTTCCAGGCATCGGGTTCTAGTCTTGTCCAAATTTTATGACTTTTGAGGATAGAAAGTTGATCTCTGAGGAGCTGAAGGAGAAGCTGAAGGAGGCATTGAAAGATGACAATAGCTTTCCGATTGGATTGTATGGGCTAGGCGGAACAGGGAAAACCACAATGGCAATAGAAGTAGGTAAAGATGTCGAGGAATCAAAGTTGTTTGATAAAGTCATCTTGAGTGTTGTCTCAAAGGATGCAAACTTGAAAAATATTCGGGTCAACATTGCAAAACACTTAGATCTGCCTTTAACTGAAGGAATGGATGAATTTGAACAAGCACAAATATTATGGAAAACAATAGAAGAAGGTGGAAAAAAGGTACTTATAATATTAGATGACATGTGGGAAAAGCTTACACTGCGAGATATAGGGATTCCTCTTGGCCGTCATGGCAAGGGTTGTTGTGCTGTTTTGCTGACCACACGTGATCGAAGAGTTTGTATAGATATGGACTGCAATGAGCCTAGTCAACTTGAGGTCCTAAAAGAAAAGGACGCCGTTGATCTTTTCCTATCTTATGCTGGCATGAGCATAGATGGTCCTTCCAATGATTTTAAGGATGTGGCTAGAGATATTGTGAAGGAGTGTGGAAGTTTACCAACTGCAATTGTAGCAGTGGCAAGTTCACTAAAGTCTAGGCCTTTACCAGAATGGCGGGATAGTTTGAAAAGATTGCAGAATCATGAGGGAATTCACGATGTTGACGAAGAGTTAAAACAGGCTTATAACTCTTTGAGATTAAGCTATGATTATCTCAGGAATGAAAAGGCCAAACAACTCTTTCTCCTGTGCTCTCTCTTCCTTGAAGATTATGAAATACCTATAGAACTTTTAACTAGAATTGCTATAGGTCTTGGGCTTTGTGGAGAAGCTAACAAATACTCTGTTGCAAGAAGTCATTTTACTCCAATTAAAAATGTGCTCATAGATTCTTGTTTATTATTAAAGGCTGAGAATGAGTGTGTCAAAATGCACGACTTGGTTCGAGAGGTAGCTCTATGGATTGGAAACAAACAAGTTCAAGTGGGTTATAATTCTAACTCAGCTTTAATGGAAAACATCCAATATTCATCTTGGAACACAGTTGACTTTCCGAATCATTTTGATGGCAAAAAACTTGAGGTTCTTTTACTTTGGATAAATGATGCAAATTCTGCTAGGGTCAAAGTTCCCGATGCTCCCTTTGAAGGGATGGAGAACCTTAAAATTTTGGCTTTAATGAGTTCGTCAGATTTGGAAACTTCAGCTGCTTCCTTATTTCAATCACTTTTGTCATTGACAAATGTTCGAACTTTGGCTATAAAGAATTTTAAGTCATTAGGAGATATATCTATTTTGGTAAATCTAAAAAACCTTGAAAGCCTTGAATTGAACAATTGTTCAATTACTGAATTGCCAAATAAAATTAAAGAACTCGAAAGATTGAGATTGTTAGAGATGGTAGACTGTTCTATTACTGAAAGAAGTAATCCTTTTGAAGTGATTGGAAATTGCTCAGAGCTAGAGGAGTTGTATTATGTGTCAAATCATGTGGCCGGTTATTGCGGGCAAATCACCACACTTCCTACATTGCAAAAGTATCATATAAGGGGTTGGCATGATTTTGATTTTTATGAAGTGGATTTTTCATTATCTAGATATTTTGATTCACGGGACTTAAGAGTAGACTTCTCCAAGGAAATATTTAAACTCCTGGTAGCGGGAGCAGAAATTTTGATGTTAGGAGAAGATTACTACAATAGAGGATGGACAAATATTGTTCCTGACATATTATCTGTGGAAGATGACAACATGAAAGATCAGTTAGCTAGGCTCTCTTTGCATTCTATGAATGAGATAAAGTGCCTAATCCATACCGAGAATCTCCGACCTGATGTGGCTATCTTCTCCAAGTTGGTTGAACTGACGCTTTATTCTGTGGATTTGAGAGAACTATGCCATGGGCCTTATCCTGTTGATTTTTTGAAGCAATTGAAGGAGCTCCAGTTATCTGGATGTGAACAATTGGAAGGCACGTTATTTGATGAAAAGCTAGAGCTGTGTAATCTTAGGTCCATATATTTATATGATTGTTCAATGACATGCCTTTTTCATGCATCCACGGCACAGAGTCTAAAGCAGTTGGAAAAACTGGATATTAAGTCATGTTTGAAGTTGAAGTACATAGTAGCAGAGACTATGGATGATCAGGATCCTAATCAAAAGAGTCATGACTCAATGTTGCCAAAATTGAAGGATCTGACGATCAACGGCTGTGCTGAATTAGAATTTATATTGCCAATATGTTTTTGTGAAGACCTTCCACTACTAGAAAGTATGCAGATTGACGATTGTGAGAAACTAAAATACGTATTTGGGCAATATCCGGACCACAAAGATTTGCACCAAATGGGGAAAGGAGCCATCCTCCAGTTGCTAGAAGTATTGGAAATTGAAGGGGTACCGAATTTCATCAATATATATGCAGAATGTTATCTCCCACGGCCTTATTCTGATGAAGTTCAAAAGTCATCTCCAAGTGCAAAAGTAGACAGCAGTAGCAGTCTATCAAGGGGTCATCTATGTTGTTTTTGGGCAAAATCAAAAGCCTCAATTATACGTCACACTTCTGCTCCCATGGACACTCAATCAAACCATAATCAGGTAATATCTGTCACTCTATTTTGTTTTAAATCTTTATTTGTAATAATGTATGAATCACCCAAATATGCTTTACTAAACTTCTTCTTGTATATATGATGAGAATATCAATTTGTCTTAAAGTAACAAAATTAATTTTGCATTTCTCTTTTTTTTCCATCTAATTGAGACGCTAGGCACAGTTGGCAAAAACCAAAAAATTCGCTCAAATATATGCTGCAAATTACTTGCACATTTTTTTTTGGCACATTATATTTACACTGCTTTGGGTCTTCCTCTGTACGCTACCCACTGGAAAATTTGTCTGTTTATAAATTACTGATTGTACAAGAACTTAATTTTGTTGGGAAAATTGGGGGAAGGACCCAAAAAAAGTAATATTTACTAAAAAAGATCTGATTATAAGAAGCAAATACTAAAATATAAATTTAAAATATAATAAATTATCCCTAAGTCCCTAACAATCCTTAATTTAAACTAAAACTTTTAATAATCCTTTTCTCATCAATATTTGAAACGAAATTTATTAAAATCAGTCAAAATCATTTATATTAATCTATCTAAAATATCTTATATATCTAAACACACAATGAAGTAAAATCATTCATCTACATGAATTGTGCTATCATTAGTTAATTTTTAAGTTGCAATTGAAAGCCCTCTTTTTTTCCCCCAAATATCTCTTTCTTGACTTATTTTTTATAAATCGTTTTACCATATTCTTTTATATATATTTAAATTTAAACAGATATATTTTAATTAATTTCAATAAATAGAATTAGAAATTTTATAAATATTTTTACCAATTTCAATTTTTGAAAATAGAAAATAATTAATTAAATAACATTATTAATATTTATTTTCACCTAAAATTTTCCATTCCCTTAATTTTAAAAGGGAGAATCCCAAAGAATTACCTTTGAATTTTAAAATTCTAAATCGGTCATGTTTGCTACACTTTAATAGCAATTGATAACATTGGAGAAGTAAATGACAACATATTTTTGTAGTCATTTTTTATTTGAGATTTTGAAATTTTAGAGATATTTCTTAGAATTTTTTCATCTTTAAATGTTTTTTTATTACCATTTACTTTAATACAAACATATCAAGATCGAGAAAAAACAAAACAAAAAGATTATGAAAATTGATGACAAATAAGAAATAGTGTGCAGATAAAAATTATAGCTATGAAAAACTTTATGAGTAATATTTGATCATTTTGATTTCTACATTATTTTTATGCCACCATATATCTCCCTCAAAAATCATATGAAACCAACTTAGGGAGCTCATTTTTTCATCTGATTCGTTGATTTATGTTGAAAGTGATACAATTTTATTTTTAATCCAATATTGTTAAAATATGAAATTTGTTGTTATGTATTATAGGAGTTGATCCCTAAAACACGGAGGGAGCGTATGTGAGATGTGGTTAGAGAAAATTTAAAAATTTAGTTAGGAATAGTTTACTATTTTTGAAATTACAGTTTTATATTTGATCCTTATAAATAATTACAAATTTAAATATCTTTTCAATAAATATTATTTTGTGTAGGCTGTTCTCTTTAATTTTTCCCAATTTGTTCATATATAGTAGATCTTTCTTGTAATATCAGAAAAGTTTGAACATTAAGCCTGTACCATAACTTGTACCATTCATTTTCAATTGATGAAAAACGAAGAATCCTCACATGTTTGTATGGAATACAGGCATTAAAGGTGAATTATGTTGTCAACAGAGCTCATGGTCTTTTCATGCCACCATTATACCCATGTAGAAGTTTGAGAAGGATACGGATATTTGAATTTTCTGAGTTAAAGTCACTCTTTACGCCATCCATTGCCTCATCATTGAAATCGCTGGAATCATTGGCAGTTGGAGATTGCGATGCACTAGAGCACATAGTAACAGATGAGGAGCATGGTCATGATCGTGGGAATGTTAACTCTATTTTCCCAAACTTACGAGAGGTTGAAGTCTATGGCTGTAGCCACTTGGAATACATATTCCCAGCTTTTTATTCAAAAGACTTGAAGCATTTAGAATCTGTGGAGATCACCGGGGCTGGAATGTTGACACATGTCTTTGGGAAATGCCGTGCTGATGAGAATCTTAATGTTCAGGTTGATATTAATCTCCCAGCTCTGAAAAGGCTAGACCTTGATGATTTACCAAATATGGTTGGCATTTGTGCTAAAAACTATTATGTGAAGGAACTATATCTAGAATATATTAGGTTGAATGAATGCCCACAACTTCCTTTGAAAACTTTGATGGACTTATTGGTTGATGAGCATAAAAGACAAGAAGATCTGTCAAGGAGAAAGATAAACCTCTTTCGGACTTTTTTTTTTTTTTTTTGCCAGTTAATTTATGATTGATCAACTAAGAAAATCATTAATACTAACATATCTTAATGATACCCACAGGCATTACCTCTTGAGAAGAAAGGTAAACCACCTTCCAACACGCAAGAATTGCCCAAGTTGGAGGATATTGGTGTGGAACCTATTATTTACATGAGCTTTCAAAATCTTTCCGAGCTAACAATCCAGGGATGCAAGCATTTGAAATTTATCTTTTGCGCATCTACCTCAAGATGGCTGCAAAAACTGAAAAGGTTATGGGTATCTCAGTGTGAAGAGCTAGTGAGCATTATGGAGGATGAAGAGAATCACAAAAATCCTATGACTCTGCATCAAGTATGTTTCCCAGAGCTACGCGTAATAACAGTGAAGCGTTGCAAAAGTTTGAAATGCTTGTTCCCTACGTCATGTGGTAAGCTTCCACGACTCTGGCATGTGGATATAGAAGATGCCCCTCAGCTTGGGCAAGTGTTTGGATGGAAGCAGGGAGAGGGACAGAAGCTGGTCTTGGAGGATGTGCTTCCAAAACTAATTGCAATAAGACTAGTAAACCTGCCAGCTCTTCATACTATCTGTCAAGGCATTGATTTTCAGACTGTTAAAATCCGTCATGTGCGTCACTGTCCTGCTATTTCTTTAGCTTCAGCTTATTATGGTACCTTCGAAGAAAGTAAGTATTTACATACATAATTCACTACAACTACTAAATGCTACAATTTGTTCTCATAATAATGTAATTGTTTTATTTTGGTAGTGGATGAATTACTATCTCAAACACTGTCTAATGAAGACTACTATGACTACGAGGACGATAGTGCTTTCTGGGGTTTTGCGGTTAGTATAAAACTTAATAAAATGGCTTAATTAGCTTAAAGAGATGGAAAAAAACAGGGAGATAAGAAATGATAATTTTTACACCAAGAGTAGCTAAAATAAAATTGACCAATACATGAATAAAAGCTTCCCTTGCTACTAATATTTTAGCAGAAATTCCGCACATCCACCTATTTTTCTTATTTAGGGTGTGTTTGGTTGCTCCCCTCCCCTCATTTGGTTAAAAATTTTGGAGGGAAAGGAAGCCAAAATGTTTCCTCCCCTCCCCTCCCTCCCCCCATTTTAGCTCCCCTCCAAATTGGGAGTTTTTGGAGGGGAGCTAAATTTTTAGACTATTATGCCTTTATGATTTTTTTGATATTCCACAACCACCTATAAAATATGTTATAATAATGTTTATTTTAAATAAAAAATATATTATCCTAAGTAAAAAATAAAAATATAAATTATTATAATTAAAAAATATATTATAATAAAAATTGATATAAATTATTATAAAAATAAAAAACATTATTTAAATAAAAATATAATATTATAAAATTAATTTTTTTTATAAATATATTATTTATTAAATATATTTTAAAGCTGAAAAAAGGCATAGCCTAAAGAGAATAAAATTTCATTTTTTTTTGGAGCAAATAAAATTTGTTAATTTGATTATTTCAAATATATTATTATATTAATTAGAATAAAAAAATACTGTACCAATTTTTTAATGCACATGTTAACATGATAAGACTGAATTTTTATTAAATTATATGATTTAAATTAAGATGTAAATTAATTTATATAATATATCAATAAAAAATATAAATTAATATGTAAGGGTAAAATAGTAAATTGATTATTACTATCCCTCTCCTGCCCTTTTTAAACCAAACAAGGGATCATTAAATATTCCTCCCTCTCCTCCTTTTTAATCAAACCAAATAAGGTGAGGATGAAACCTCCCCTCCCATCCCTTAACCCACCCTCCCCTCCCTCCCCTACCCTCCCCTCAAACCAAACAGACCCTTAGTGGACTAAGATTACAATCCTTATTAATGATTTCAAGCCACTATTTTCTTTATACCTTATTTTGAGGAATTAGAGCCAACTCTGGAGAGAGACCTAACTATAGTCAATAACAGAACAAGCGTGTGTTTTACCAAGCCCACACATCCTCTCTTACATATTATTCTTCCTTTATTCCAAATTTTCGCTTGATTTAATTCGTAAAGTTTAATGATCAGAGTTCAACTCATTTCATCTGTTCTTATATGTTTTGTGATTGTTCAGGAGGAACGGGAATCCGAGCGGGCAGAGGCATCCGAGGTTATTGAAGGAGACTCCATAGTTTCACCAAAATCGCCAGAGGTACATGGATTATGCTTTTGTTGAGAAATTATAGAGAAAGTGTTAATAACAATAACTACAAATTTTGGCAGAAATTGACCAATACATGAATAAAAATTTCGCTCGCTACTGATTTTGGCGGAAATTCCATACAACATCCACCGCTTTTTCCTATTGTGTGGGTTAAGGTTACAATTTTGTTAATGAATAATTAATTTGCATGTGCATACTAAAAATAATTTTTACAAAAATATTAACTAAAAATAAAATTGAACAATACATGAATAAAATTTTCCCTCGCTACTAATATTTTAGCAGCAATTCCATACTCCACCAATTTTTCTTATTTTGCGGGCTAAGATTACAATCTTTATTAATGACTTCAATTCACTGTTTTCTTTATACCTTGTTCCGAAGAATTAGAGCCAACTCTGAAGAGAGACCTAACAATAGTCGATCTTCCTTTGTTAAAAATTTTAGCACGATTTGCGAAGTTCAATTATCAGAGATTTCAACGCATTTCGTCTTTTCTTATACATTTTTGATTGAACAAGCACCCATCATGCTTATTGAAGAAGACTACATAATATAGTACACAAGCAAAACCATATTTCGCCAAATTTGTCAGAGACACAAGCATTATGCATCTATTGAGTTAATAGAGAAAAAGGAATGAAAACAATAATTGCAGAGCATGAAATACACGTGTCAAGAAATTATATCAGTAGCTAATGAAAATATAAAGGTCTTCCAGTATGTTCTGACGATTTAGGGTTGAGATGTTTAGGTTTGACATTGCTGGGCTTAGCAAATTGATTCTTAACCATTTTGGACCAAATGTTTGTGTTATTCTCAACAACTTCACTATAACAAAACAATGTCATAAACTTCTTAGCAACTCATTTCTCAACAAATACTTTCACTTGTATTTTCATTTAACAATGCTCAATTATGCAGCAATGCAGAAGTGGAAAGGGTTTCATAGTATTGATATTGTTTTTAGTTTATATAGGAGTTTGCCAGAGCCTCTCATGTACCTTTTAGGAATCAAAGTTGATGTTGATAGTAAACTAATATATCTTTTTTTATTTTTCAGATCAGAGGAGAGGGATCATCACAAGAAGACATAAAAAAAGACTCAACAATACCCCAACAGAATAATGGCTCACCAAATTTTGAAAATGTATGCATATCATACATTTTCTATAAATAACCACACTTAAGAAATCAACAAATGATTTCTCTCTTACCTCACTGTTTTATTCATTTGTTCCAAATAAATCAAGTTTTTTTTTTTTATATTTTGTGTGCTAATTCGATTTATTATGGTTATTAACACCATGAAAACTCAGCTTATCTTCTTCTTATATCTTTTTGTTGATGTTTAGAGTGAGGAAGTATCCAAGGAAATCGCCATAAGAGACTCCACAACACACAAAAAAAAAGTAATTTGCCAAATTTGACAGAGGTATGTACATTGGTATTCTATAACGAGGACTCAAACCAATAAATAGTTCTCTTTAAATTAATATACCATATGCTTCTTAATTATTTTAACATTTTTAGTAACACATTCATATTTTATGAGTTACATAGAATACCAATGCATCAACAAGTGGAATTGTCGAAGAAAAACTCTCAACAACTCCGTCATCTACTTCAGATACAGTAAGGATTATTCTTCAATTTATGTTTCCACTGATATATACAGATACATACATACATATATATATATATATATATATTTCCCCGAATACATAGTCATGTGGAAGTGGAAATGCCTTATAATAATAATGATTTTGTTTTATGGATAAGAGTTGGTGGGAGCCTCTAATGCATAACTTGGTGATCAAAGTGGACGCTAACAGTAAGCTTAAAACAGATTTATGATACCAACAGATTGTAAGTTTAGAGGGTACTAAAGCAGTAGCAAATGAAGTCGTTAGGTCGGTTCCTATTTCTTATATATGCCCGCAATGACTATCCATCATTTTGTTCAAATAATTTAAGAGTGAATCCCAGAACAAAGACCTTCACTTATATGTTTACTGAACTACTCATTTCAATAAAATAGTATAGGCGTTTAATTTGTAGGAGCCTTTAATGCACCACTTGGCTATATATTACTCCCTGATCCAATCCTGTACATAAGTAACTTTTAATTATCTCACCAACCAAGAAGAAGTAGGTACATTATTGATATTGTTTGAAAAGGGAAAAAAAATCCCAATTACTCTTATTAAATGCATCATCTCAAAAAACAATTAGCTCTCTCATATGCACCCTCTTACCCTTAGAAAATTGCAAAAGGCTAAAATTAAAAGACAATAATGGTAACCTAGAGTCTTTTAAATTGTAAATCAAATCAAATCATGAATTCAGAATTAAGCAACACATCCCCACCAACATTTGCCATTGTTTAAGAAATTGAGCTCACATGTAAGGCTCACATGTAAGAATATTATGCTTCCTTTTATGGGTTGAATCAACAAGCACTATCAAAATCAGGATATGATATGCGTTCTAATGATTCACAAAATGCTAACATTTGACAGAAGATTATACTATTTACAATGTTTTAGTGTCATAGAAATAATCCTTAAACTTGCAAATCATTTGGTGTTGGGCAGAATCTCAAAGCAACTTTTGGAGAAGGTCCTTCATTTGAGAAGTATGACAAAGAAAGTTCATCAGCTTATTCAAAACCGAAAACTGAAGAACCTTACACATTAACTCCTTCTGAAGTAAGCTTGCTGCATTCATTTTAGCTTTATATAAATGTCTTGGTGTTTATTCATTCCTTAATTTGCTTAGGAGTTATGTGGAAAGGAACCAACGGCTGATGAACAAGCACTTGGAGAAAATAAAATCTTTAATGAAGCACCTCAAAGAGTTGAAGAACCTATCAAAGAATTTTCCACCAAAGAAACATCAAATGAAATGGTATTGATGATGCCACCATCTATTTCTTTTGGAAAGACCTCTCCAGGAGTAAATAGTTGGTTTCTAATACATTTGCATTATTAATACATTATTGGCTTCCATTCAAATTCATCTTTCTATTTCTATGCTCTTAGATCTCTTCAATCTCATCTCCCAAAAAGCCTCCAATAGCAACCTCAGCATCTCACGCGGAAATGGAGTCAGGGATCTCTGCTATTACCGATGACATTGCACAAGTAAGCCTTCATTTTATTGCATTGGTTTAGGGATGAAATTTTATTCTTTAAAACTGGCATATACTTAATACTAGAATAGAACAATTTGATAATCAACTGGTGCTCTGTTTTTATGAAGCAACTGGAGTGTATTTTAATTCCACTATATATCACCTTCTTTTCAATCTAATACCTAAATAAACTAACTAGTATGAACAATTCTTCTCAATCTGCACCTGATTAAGATGGTCAACAAGTCATAACTTGCTCCTATTGCGTAGACATAAATATGTGGAAGGAAACGCATTTTAATTCATTATATTCTGTTGGTTACAATAATGGTTGCTTCATTTGATTCACTTCAACAGGATAAAACCATGAACCAACCAGAGACCTCCGCTGAGAAACAAATTAAGTTTGACCAAGGAAACCAGCAGCAATTTGCTGAAGATGATCTGATGAGATTGTTCCGAATAATGGAGGAAGGTGCTGAAATGGAAGCTCACATACCTGATGTATCCAAAATTGCAGCTCTTCAAGATGATAAGGAGTTGAAGAAGGCTCTCACTGACTTGGAAGCCCCATTGAAGATGAGTCTGAGTGAAATAACTTGCTCTGAAGAAAGCAAACTTCGCCTTGAGAATGCTCTAAACATCTTATCCTCCCATTATTCTGAAGAAGGAGCTCCCTCTCATGGCCTCCAAGCTACAATTCACTCTCTGCAACAAGAAATCCAAACTGTTCTATCTTCTTCCAAGCAAGCCTATGCCTCCATTGACACATTCAACGAGCTTGAACGAAAAGAGAAGCTTATCACTGAAGAAGGTTCAAAGAGAAAGGAAGCAGCGATAGCTTTTCTGTCTAAAATTCACAATAAAGAGAGTTCTTTGACCGAGGCTCAGCAAAAGAAAGCAGAGTTGAAGGAGAAAATCTCTAAGATTCAGGTTGAATTATATAACAAGGAAAAAGAAATTCAAGAGTACGAGATGGAACTGTTATCTCTAAAAGAACAAAAGAAGAAGAGTGTTTTTGAGACAATAGGGTTGATGAACGAGTTCGAGGCAGTAAAGAAAAAAAGGTATCACATGGTGGAAGAAAACATAAAAGCAAAGCAGCAACTACAAAATATGGATGTTAAGTGGTCTTTCTGTCTATCCAATCTAAGAAAAGCCACACTGCTGCTAGGAGTTCATCTTCAACATAAGCTTTCAGAGTCGGAGACTGATATTTTAATTTCCTAAACAACTCTACTGTGTGGCCGTGCTTATTATTTAGGTTGTTAGCTATGTGTGTTTTGGGTTTTGCGTTTTGAGGTAAAAAAAAAACAAAAAAAAACATGAAGAGGAAATTATTAAAAAGGAAAAAAAAAAAACAAAGAATAGGGCGTGTGGGTAATGATTGTTGAAGACTCGTTATTGTACATATGGATTTGACTGTAGTGAAATTTTTCTGGACTGGGTCCCGTGGTTTTTATCTCTCACATTGAGGGGGTTTTCCACGTTAAAAAATTGCGTGTTCTATAGTTTTTTTTTTTTTTTACTTGATGCAATTTTTTTTAACGTTTACATCATTTTATAGACATTATTTTAACTCAATTTTTTTAAATAAAAATTATGTCCACTATATTATACTACCTCCCGTCCTTAATAATTGATATAAGATTGAGTTGACTAATTTAGAAAAATTGAAGAAGTTAATAAATTATTTTAAACTATTTGCTTTTATCACTTTTTTTTCCAAACTAATTTGCTTAACTTATAAATTGATATATAATGTAATGATTTTCTTATATTCAGAGAGATCATATATTATATTATAATTAAGTAATTTAGTAATTTTTTTGATCTCCTTAATTTAGAAAACTAGGTCTTATATTAACAATTGAAGGTAGTATTATATTTGTGCAAATTTTTTTCCCGAGTACATTTTTAAGATACCGACGCAATGGCGAATGTGGTACTCCATTGTCCACTCAGACAAAAATGTTTCAATATATTGATTTACAAAAAAAAAATTTAATTACAAGCTTACAATAGGCTCAAGTTGTGAAATTGCTAAGCAAAAGTTATCGATTCTAGATTAAATTTTTCATTCACGAAGTACAGATTTATTTCTCTAACGACTATTTCACTCATAGTCCATGAGTTCATAGAAGGATACAAATGACAAAGTGAGTTATAAATTCTAGATTAAAGTTTTGGAATTTTAGGAAATGGTATTTTTTCAGTATTCATCTTTAATTTTTTTTCCCTTTCATTCAAAAAATACTCTTATATCATATTTTTATATATTTTATTTATTTGTACTACTAAAGATATTAAATGTAAGCATTGGAAAGGTGAATATTGGATTGTTTATTATTAAAGAAAACCACACTGCCGCTTCAAAAGTTTCTGCGTGATGAATTCTTATGTTAATTCTTCATTATCCTTTGAACATTTGATTATTTTACTCCATTTTTTAGCAGAATAGTGTGTTTTCAGAGATACAGTATAGAAACAGAAGCTCTATTTCCCCCCCCCCCTTTCAATTGCTCTGTTTTTGTACACGATTCTTGTTAACGACGGCCACCATGTGGAAATCATCAAGCATGAAGAAGGTGAAGGAATAGAAGAAGGATTCACAAGCCTTTAGAACAGAACTGTTTTATGGTCAATTTGATAATGTGAAAATATGTGATTTAATTGTAGTAACTTAGGGTTGTGTGCAAGTTTACTTGTAATTTCATGCAGAAATGTTTCAATCAAACGAATATTTCTCCTCCTACTTTTTACCTTTTTTTTTTTTTTTTACTTATATGTTATTTTTGTAACGTTCTCTAATTGCACGGACTTAATTATGCTTGGTAAATTGTGCAAAGTTAAAAAAAATAAATAAATAATTAGGTAATGATCATGGGACCTACTTTGAAATCCATGATAAAATTATAAGAATAAAAACTTTGCTCCCTTCATACGAAAATGGAGGATGAAATACTGAAAGCAAAGTTAAATGCACAAAGTTATTCTGCAAATTAAAGAAAGTAAAATAGTGTGGTAGAAGGATGATACGTATACCTTTCTTCAATTTCTGAAAAGTGCCATAACTAGATTCCATCACACACACACACACACAAAAATTACAAAGTTGAAGAGCCATAGTTTTACCTTTCTGCCACAATTCAAATTTCAGAGACGACCGACGTACCAACCTCATCATTTCCCAACACTAAAGTTCCTGCTTTTGCAAACCAGTCTGTGTTTCATATTCGTCTTTGAATCCTTCTTGTGTTTCCAATCTTTCCTTTCATATGGCTCTCTATTAATTAATAGTGTTGTTCTGTTGTTCTTTTGATTCAAAATAAAATAAAATGGAAAAGAAAAGACAAAGAAAAAATACTTCTTCTTCGTCTTCTTCAAACCAGTTTGTGTGTTTATTATTTTCTTCTTGTGTTTCTTCTTGTGTCTTTTTCCACGTATTCTTCCTTTGATTTTTCATTTCTCTTTCTATTAAAAGAGTTTCTAATTTGTTGTTTTTCTTCTTTTGTAAAGAACAAATTTTAACCTCTATTAAATTATTGTTTTTCTACTCTCAAAACTATTGATTATTGTTATCATTGTTCTTCTCCTTTTTGTTCAGAGAAAACAAAAAAAAATTGTGTTCAAAACTTCCGATATTACTTTGTATGTTTTTTTTCTTTATATTTAAATTTCTCATTTGATTTTTTTTCTCTGTACCATCGTTGTTCTCATATTTCCTTTTCTAACCCAAAAAAAAAACAGGAAAGGCAAAACAAAAAAGGCTTTTATATCAAAGGCATTGCAGCTTAAACGCATAGAATTCTCTGAGGTAAGAATTTGTGCCCCATGATGCTTATGAACTAAGTTTGCATCTTCTTTTTGTACACTCGCACATGTATGTATGTATGTATATAATATATATATATATATATATCTGTGTGTGTGTGTATTGTCTCTTTAACGTTCTACAACTCCTTTTTATTTATTAGATCTTGGTTGGCTGGTTACACGAAGCACAATTGAAGATCTCATTTATGTTTCCAGGTTAGTATATGCATAATTTTCATATTAATAATCATTTGAAACATATTCTTGTTATTGATTTTTCTGTCATAAACAACACAACCGTTTTAAGCTGAGTCTTGCTTTGCTTACATGTTTTATTGTGAGGCGTACAATTATATATATAAGCATTAATTAGTAACATACTTATCTGGTCCTATTTATAGGGCAAAGAGAGAAAAAAAAATTTTGTTCTATTTATAAGGCATTGAGAAAAAAAATTTTTTGGATGGATGTACAATTTTACCTTTTATTTATTATTATGTTTACTTTGTTTATATAAGGTATAATATATATTAACTAGGAATAAAGTTGAAAAGTTGTTGAACTTTAAATAAGAGTTAATGAAGTTTAAAATTTTTCTTGGTTTAAGTGAAACATGTTGAAAATAATTTACAAATGGGACCAGAGGAGTATTGTATTTGGGCTTTGACCTTTTATATTAAATCTCCTTAATATTTTCATTTTTATTCATCAAATTTTGGTTGGCTGCATAAAGCTTACTTGAAGATTTAAAATTTTGGTTGTCATTCTGGCCCCAAAAGGAAATCTCGAAAGAAAAGAAAAGAAATGAAATAAAGAGAAGAAAATGATGAGATACCTATAGAACTTTTAGCCATCCCAGGCTTTACGAGAAAGCTAATAAACATTCTGCTGCAAGAAGTCATTTCGCTCCAATTAAAAATGAGCTCATAGATTTTTGTTTATTTTTAAAGGCTGAGAATCAATGCATCAAAATGTATGACTTGGTTTGAGAAGTGGCTTTGCTGATTGGGGAGATAACTTTTCAACAGGGCGTGGGTTATAACTTAATAACTTTAAGGGAGTACATCAGATGTAAACCTTGAAACATAACTAACTTTTCACGTTATTTTTGTGATAAAAAACTTGAGGGTCTTTAAGTTTGGATAAATGACGCAAATTCAGAAACCAATAGATACTATCTCTGAAGGGGTCAAGAGCCTTAAAAATTTGGCTATAGTATGCTCATTAGATATTCTAATTTCAGCAGCATTCTTATTTCAATTTCCATTGTCACTAATAAATGCATGAACTTTAGCCTTTAAAGGACTTGAGTAAGGAGATATATGTTCGACCTGACGTGGCTATCTTCTCCAAGTTGGTTGAACTAGAGCTCTTTTCCATGGGTGGTAGAGAACTATGTCATGGTTCTTATGCTGGTGATTTTTTTAAGCAACAAGAGGAGCTGCAGTTATCCAAATGTGAAAAACTGGAAAGCACGTTATTTGATGGCAAGATGGAGCTTTATAATCTTAAGCGCATAGATTTATGTGGATGTTCAATGACAAGCCTTTTTCATCCATCCACAGCACAGAGTCTAAAGCAATTAGAAGCATTGCAAATTAGAAGTTGTTTTGAGTTGAAATACATCGTAGCAGAGACCATGGATGATCATGATCCTAATCACAAGAATCATGACTCAGTGTTCCCCAAATTGAAAGATCTCTTACTCACAGTATGTCCTGAATTAGAATTTATAATGCCAATACGTTTTTGTAAAGACCTTCCACTATTGGAACGTATGCATATTTATTATTGTCGGAAGCTAAAATACATATTTGGGCAACAATATCCGAAGGAGACAGATTTAAATTTGGACCAAAAGGGAAAAGGAAACATCCTTCAATTGCTAGAAGAAGTGTGCATTTGGGGAGCACCAAATTTCATCAACATATATGCAGAATATGAAGTACAAAAGTCTTCTCCAATTACAAAAGTGGAAGTTGGCACTAGCAGCTTATCAAAGAATCTTTTGCATTGTTTTTGGCCAAAATCAAATGCCTCTACCAAACATCATCTTTCTGCTTCCATGACCACCCAACTGAATCATAAACAGGTAATATATGATGCAAATTACTTGCAAGTTATTTTTTTCAATTCATGAAAGAAGAACTCACATGTTTGCATGGAATACAGGCATTAAAGGTGAACTATGTTGTGAATAGAGCTCATGGACTTTTTACACCACCATTATACCCATTCACAAGTTTGAGAAGGATGGAGATATTTGGATTGTGTGGGTTAAAGTCACTGTTTACCCAATCTATTGTCTCATCACTGAAATTGCTGGAATTATTGCAAGTCAAAAATTGCAATACATTAAAGCACATAGTAACAAATGAAGAGCGTGGTCATGATCATGTGAATTTTAACCATATCTTCCCCAACTTACGGGAGCTTTATGCCTCATACTGTAGCCACTTAGAATATATTCTCCCAGCTTTTTATTCGAAAAATAACATGAGTTTTCAAAATCTTTCCATGGTAACAATCCAAGGATGCAAACGACTGAAATTCATCTTCTGTGCATCTTCCTTAAGATGGCTACAAAAACTGAAAAGGTTAGAGGTATTAGACTGTGAAGAGCTAGCGAGCATTATTGAGGATGAAGAGGATCAGAAAAATCCTATGCCTCCGCCTCAAGTATGTTTCCCAGAGCTATGTGGAATTACAGTGAAGCATTGCGAAAGTTTGAAATGCCTCTTCTCTAAATCAAGTGGTAAGCTTCCACAACTCTTGTATATGAATATAGAAGATGTGCCTCAGCTTGGGCAAGTATTTGGATGGAAGCAAGAAGAGGGACAGAAGCTAGTCATGGGGGATATTCTTCCAAAACTAGTTGCAATAAGACTAGTAAAAATGCTAACTCTTCGTGCTATCTACCAAGGAATTGATTTTCAGAATGTGAAAATCCGTCATGTGCACGAATGTCCTAACATTTCTTTAACTTCAGCTAATGATAGCTATGATGAATGTAAGTATTCACATAGCTAATTCATTAAAACTTCCATAATTGCTTAAATTTGCTCTCATAATAACAGAAGTGTTCTATTTCGACAGTGAGTGGATTGTCATGGCTATTTCAAACACACTCTCAAGATGAAGAAGAATACTATGCAGAAATTTTGAACTGGGCTTTTGAGGTTAGTATCAAACTTAATAAAATGGCCATCGGCTAAAAGATGATAAATGATTATTTTTACACCAAGAGTAATGCCAAAGTGAAAAGGGTTCTAGCAGGAATGATTTTGCTTTTAGTCTATATGAGTCTGTAGGAGTCTCTGATCTTCTTCCAAATGGTTAAAGAACCTACCAGTGAATGTTCTGCCAAAGAAACATCAAACAAAAGCCACTTAAGATTCCACCATTTGGTTTCTAATATAGTTGCACTATTCATATGTTATATTACTAGCTTTCATTTAGATTAATTTTTTCTAATATAGTTGCACTATTGATATGTTATAGTACTCGCTTCATTCCGATTAACTTTTCTATTTCTATGCTCTTAGATCTCTTCAATCTCTTCTCCCAAAAAGCCTCAAATAGAAACTTCAGCTCCTCACATGGAAGTGGAAACCGAGAGCTCGCAATCAGACCCATTACTTGCTTCTACTATTACTGATCAATCTGCAAAAGTAAGCCTTCATTTGATTGCATAAGTTTTGGGACGTAATTTTATTCTTGAAAACTAGAATATTCTAATGCTAGAATAGAGCAATTTGATAATCAACCAATACCCATATGTGTATTGAGTATACAGTATTTTGCTTGTTCTTCTTCTACACGTCGCAGCTAGAACATACAAAATTGGGTTTCTTACAATATTGAGGAGGTAAAATTAATGCCTCATTTCATTTTCTTTAGGATCAAATTACAGTCAATCAAAGAGGGAGCTCCGTTGACAATGATCTTAATAGATTATTACAAATAATGAAGGGTGGTTTTGAGTTGGAAGTTGGCCAGCCTTATATTTCCAAATTTGCTGCTTTTGAAGATGACGAAGTGGCTAAGGCCTTTGATGATTTAGAATCCTCATTGAAAATGGATCTCAATCAGATAGCTAACTCTAAAGAACATACTCATCACCTTGAGAATGCACTCAACTTCTTGTCCATCCATTTTTCTAAAGATGAAACTTCCTCTCACGGCCTTATTAGAGGCAAAATAGACTCTCTTCGAGAAGAAATCCTAAAATTTATCTCATCCTTCAAGCAAGCTAATGATAAGCTTGACAGATTCACCAAGCTTCCAGAAAAAGAGAAGTGGGTCAATGAAGAATATGCTCAAAAGATGGAGGTAGCTAATACTATTGTGTCTGAAATCCGCAATACTGAGGATTATATGATTGAATTGGAGGGACAGGTCTCTAGATTGCAGGCTGAATTGAAAAGCAACAAAGAAAAAGAATTAGAAGACTGTGAAATCAAATTGTCTTCTCTTCAAAAGCAAAAGAAGGAATGTGTTTTGGACATCATAAGGTTCATGGGAGAGTACGAGGCTGTGAAGAAAGACAAGTCTCATATGGTGGATAGCCAAATAAGAGTAAGCCAAGAATTAAAAGAGTTGGAAAATCAATGGCCTTCTTGTCTGGTTGATTCGAGGAAAACTGCACTTTTGTTGGGAATCCTTCTTCAACAGTAGCTCTGATTGTTAGGGATTGTTAAGTAAATAACCCGGAAATAGCATTAAAAATATAAATTTCTAGAGGGTAGCCAGATAATTTTTCAATGTATTGATTAGGTTGTCATATATGTTATGGTGCGGTGTGTTATCATTATGGGTGATTTTCACTTGGTTCAAAGTATGGGTTAAGTCAGCAATTCATGAAAACTCGTTTTTGTGTACACTGATTTTTTTGAAAGTGAAACTAGATTTGGACCTGGTTAATGACCATATTTTTGTGCCTTAAATGATTCAGAGCATAGGAGCCTAATTTAGTATTGAGATCTTGTGTACAGAAAGGAAAGATAATGCAACTATGAAAAGTAGGCAAAAGAGATGACTTTGAATGGAGAAAGAAAGTTTGGATATTAATATTTTCATTATTTACATTGATAAAAATCCTTGAGCAGAATTAATGGGAGATCAAATCATTAAGCAATGATCATTTGATAAGGGAAGCATCATATTCAAAATCGAATCATTAATTCATTATCCCCCGTTGGGTGTACATGCGCAGGTATTGGCTTTTTAATTTCAATGTGTCATAATCTTCAACTCCATGGGAATTGTGCTATCATATAATGCTTAATTTTCTTTCACACAAAATAGAGTAAATTGTTGAATTTATAAAAGATTAATACAAATTTGAGTCCTCAAGTTTAAATCTCAAATTTCTTTTCATTTAAAATATTGATCCCAATAATCCAATAAAAACTTGACAATTTTACCCCTTGATGGACTAAAACCTATGGTTTAAAACTTAAAAGACCCAAACTAAAATGAGGACAAATTTGAAGGACCAAAGATTATATTAACCCTTATTAAAAAAAAAAAACATGTTTGTGTGGCTGCATACCGCTACTCATGATTGCTTTCAACAGTTCATTATTATACGCACACATATTCAAGAATAGAATAGGCAGGTTTTTGCGATTTTAGGCTAAATAACTCCTAAATTTACAAAAAGTGCTCTGCCACCAATGGATTCTGTTATGTTTCTGTCAATTTCAGCTCTGATGTCTTGAAGCATTTCGCATCCACAAAACTCAAATGCTTCCCTTGTTGTTGCATATTGACTTTACTCTTGAGGAAGCTATTATTCTATCAAGTTTACTTCTTGTTTTGGAGCCAAGTGTCCTCTGCCACCACGAGAACTAACCCATTCAAGCTTGGCAGAGAAATTTAGGCTTTGGGAGACTTACTAATTGCATTTAGCTTTGTTATAAATTATAACAAATGAGTAACGGAAAGAAATATTAGTGATATAGCTTTCACAATATTACTTTCACAATCTAACTATATATCTAAGGCTGTATGCTGCCCTTTTTAATATCAATGGACAGCTTCGAATATCATCAGCTAGCGTAAATCCAACAGCAATGTATGATTGTGCGGTTACATTTTGATTAAGAGTCTTATTAAAGAGAAGAAAGTTAAATATATAAAGCCATTGAATAAAAATGAGGTTGCCTAGAATGTTGTATCAGTCTGCAAAGAATTTGAAATTTTGGCCAAAGAAACAAAAGAGAAGAGGAAGTTAACTTGATTTTTTGCTTACTGTTAAGTTGAAATCCTCTGTTTTCTGGGATTCTAATCTTACGCATCACTGTACTTTTATCATGTAGGATAACTTTGAATACTCTTCCCCTTTGCCCCCTTCAATTTCCTTATCTTTAAAAACAAGAAAATCAAAACATCATGTCACCAATAGAAACTATGATCTCATTTGACGATGCTGAGTTCCAGGGGCGGCATATATCAATTGTTTGAATAATACTGATAATATTTTGCCAAAGACCCTTCGATCTAGTACCTCACGTATCAAACTCGTACTGTGTCTGAGTGTGTTTGTACGTTAAGTTTCATTTGACCCTTATAAAAATAAAATACTAATAATATTTTTGTTTTTCTCAACCTGCTCTGTTTGATTGGATCCAGCTTCTCTCCTTTACCCTTTTTCATCCGCTGCCCTCCTCTGCCTCAAACTACACCGCTTTGGTGTCGAAATGGTGGGGTGGCGCCTTTTGTTTTTTAAAATAAGCATCTAATACTTTAAAATATTTTTCCAGTATCATTTATTATCTTGAAATATTTTTTTAGTACTATCTATTCTAATATAATTTTTGGTCCAATTAGAGCTCTAAAATACATTTTCTGTAACACCTAGTATCTGATTTCCAATACACCGAAGTATATTCAATAAAACTTAGTATCCTAAAATATTTTTTCAACATCACTCAACATTTTAAAATAATTTTTTACCTAGTCAGAGCTGTAAAAATTTTTTTTTTGCAACACCCAATATCTAACTTCCAACATACTATAGTATTTTTTTTAGTAGCACCCAATATTTTAAATTAATTTTTAGTACATTCAGTAATGTAAAATATTTTTTAACTGCAATTAATTTCTTGAAATAATTTTGGTGCAATATTTTAGGTATTGAATGCACTAAAAATTAGTTTTGAATACTTGGTGCCACTGAAAAAAATATTTTAATGTGTTATAAGCTAGATATTGGTTGTTACAGAAAAAAATATTTTAAGGCTCTGACCAAACCAAAAATTATTTTATTGTACTGGGCAGTAGTAAAAAACACTTCAGTGTACTGAAAGCTAGATACTGAGTGTTACCGGAAAAATATTTTAGGACTCTGATTGGACCAAAAATTACATTAGAA